GTTAGAAATTGAAGACAATGTTATAATACCAGTGCAAAGAGTAGACAGAGGTCCGATGGACTGTAGAAATATCAAAAGTGTTGTGCTGAATATTGCAGAAAATGGATACAAACCAGTAGTCCGTATTTAAGTGGCAACAAGCTTTTTAGCTCAATTTGCTCAGTGTCATGTTAGCTTAAGTTATTACTTCTCGTCCGTCGTCCGTCTGTAACCTTCTAACATTTCAAAATCAATACTGATAAACACTTGAACAAAAGAAAGAAAAAGAAACACAATATAAATTTCAAAAATACATACGCTGAATGATGTTTACTAAGCAAAAATAAACGAACAAATAAATAAGAAAAAATAGTAAAAGAAAAAAACAACCCGACAAATGACAAAAAAAAAACAAAATAACAAACCCGAGAAAGAAAGGAGTTTTTGAATAAAATATTTAAAAAAACAGAAGGAAGAAACAAAGATAGTGAGTTGTGCAAGTTATTATCTTTTCTCAACAAAAATTGTAAAAGTAATTACTTGTACAATTATATTTGTACAAGTGATAACTTGTATGATGGCATCATACAAGTAATTAATAACTTGTACAAAATAATAACATGTACTCGACATATATATATATGTAGGACTCTGAACCGCGATGGTACTCCGAACCGCGATGGTCACGCTGAGGTGCGATGGTTTGACGCTGAAGTGCGATGGTGGCATTATATACTCAAAGCTAATACCCCACATATTATAGTACGCTCATACCTACTACTTCTATGGAGGAAATAGCGTATATAAGAATGTTTCAACAACAATTAAACTAAAAAATCCCACTCAGCAGATTCTCACCATGTATTTACAAATTTCGTTTTATATCTACATCTAGCTTATTTCAACTACATATATATTTTTCTTTTTCTAACTAGTGCTATATCAAACGTTAAGGAACTCGATTTCAAAAGTTTTTCCCCTTTTATTACAAGCCATAAAATTACACGGACAAAACCGACACCTGAAATGATATTACTTTTGTCTCCTAAAGTCAGCCACGCTTCTATAATTGGTAACAGTATGATTGTAAAACGGCCATTAGACTTAGGAAAAATAATACAATGGAAGTGTGATTTGGTTATTGGAAGAAATAATACCAGTCTACGTGCATTCAGTAATTTGTTACACTCTAAAGGATAGTTTATTTAAAATAGCCAGTTATAATAGTTTGTTGTTCTATTTGCATGATAGTCGTATTTAATTAAAACACAGCGGTAGATGGTGGTAGAATATGAGATTGCAGTCAGAGGTTAATATGAATAAAACGACGGATGGATGGAATGATGTTTAATGTCCAGTGACAAGTTTTATATGCATATCAAGACAAATACATGTTGATGTGCTTTTCTAACAAAATAAAAATACGTGAGAAGATAAATATGCATCTTATTGATATCAATTCCGGTTTTGATGGAAGTTCGTAATGCAAACAAATACTGCATACCGATACTTTTAACGGTCACTCCTATGGTACGAAATCAAATACTGTTATCTTCTACGGAGTAAATGTGATAAACAGTAAAATGGTAAGTCCCATCATTCACCACAACGCTGCTTGGTCTAGGGAGGAGAGAATCCCTTAGGAAAGATTTTGGATACGAAAATCAAAAACGTTGGCACCAAATAGGATCAATGAACTGCTAATTTACTTTTGGATGCATATACACATACGAAGCTTCCATTGTAAATCACTAATGTACGTGAACTTTGAGATTTTATAATTAAACTAGTTGCATTCAAGTTTTTTTTTCTTTTTTTTCCCTTTTTTTTGGGGGGGCGGGTGGGGGGGGCGGGGGGGTGCAGCATGGATTGATAGGATTAACTTTTCATCATACTGATGAATGGAATCTGTTATCCAAAATAGACTTTCTTCATTATTTAGTTAGCAGATTAATGATTTATCTAAATAAATACTTTTGTATATGGTTGTAACAAAGTACATGATGTTTTGTAGCATATATATATGTTATACCTAGCTTGCAGTAAAGCTGTACATTGTTTGTTTGTTTGTTTGTTCGTCGTAAAGGATGATAATTTTACTCTTCATGCAGTCACACCAATATTATTTTTATCATGTACGTCTAACTATGTGAAAACTTATCTATAGTTTTGTGAAATTCTAATATGTGAAAAATAAAGACAGGATACGTGGGAGTGAATGCAGTCCAACAAACAAACCAAACTGTGAATAATATACACAAGAGTCTGACAACAATCTGATACAAACACTTAATACTCGTGACAAAAATAATGAAGAGACGACGTCAACATTTAGCCTGGTTTAGCGTAGTAAAACAAGTTTTGTGTACAGAATCCACCATGTATTGGGTCAATTAGTGGAATAACAATATGCACATAGACCAAGCAAAAATCAATCCAGAAAATGCACTTCACTCACAGCTATCCCTTTCACCGACGAAAAACACTACTACAAGAAAGAAAGAAAAACCGGCATAATTCCGTTTCAAAACATTTCACAGTCAAATCACAAAAGGTCAACGCCTTAGGAAGCTGCATCCTTAGATTATGAACAATTACATGATATATAAACCGAAAATTACCAATAATACATTTAGCACGTATAAGAACTATTCACAAGAAGCAAGATTTTAATATATTTAGTATCTCTTCCATTGGTATAACAACTTTTCTTGTTGTCGGTCGTGTTGCATTTTTAAAAGGCTCAACAGATCAATTTTATGGATAAAATCCAGCGAGGAGAAATAATTTTCACAGTTTTCTGATTCGAAGCATGTGTTTTTTAACCAAAAACATATATTGATTTGAAACTACTTTAATGTAAATTGAATAAAAACCAGAGGGAAACTGTGCATACTATATATTTTCTATATGTATAAAACTTCAAGACAAAATAAGGGCCAAATGCAAGAATCCATTTCTCTGAAGCTACATCCACGATTCATCTACAAATTGGCAGAAAAAAAAACTTAGTTTCCTATCTCTCTATACCAAGAATAGTTTAGGTATTTGATATACGTATAACTTTGATTATGTAACGGTTGGAAGCTTATCAGTAGAGCATTGATTACAATTTAATGATTAGGATGGTAAAGGCAATGATGTGTTCTGTAACGATGATAACAGTCTGAGAGTCGCTCCGTCAGAATGCAAATACTGTGAATGGTGTTTATACTGACATCTCTGACAGATAATGTAAATTGTCTAATGATTTTTACGATCAACGTGTTCCTTTCTAAGTTAATCAATGATTGGAGAAAACAGTTCGAAACTGTGCTGGCACTAAATTGGACAGCTCAGAACAACCATGGGACAGATGTTTCGTATACAAAGCAAACAGAAATAAAAGATGGCATTTATCAATTGTCGCTCAAAGGCACAAACAAAAATATATCATCGACTGATGATATTTGTTTTCCCCTATCCATAACAAGTACATTTGTATATGGTATATCTTTTGTCCTTCCGTGTTTCATATTATGATAAAAAGTGTCTGCCTTATTCGTTGCACGAATGCTTATTGTTTTTGCCTTTAAAGAGGGTGTATACTATTTACTTTGGTTTTCTTCTTGTGTTCGTCTTTAACTTAGGTTTAGAGGTATTTATAAAGGTAAGGTTCATGTATAACTTCCACCCTTAGGCTGTAAGGAGGTTCAACAGGGGAACAGATTGCATGTCGAATAAATGCAGTTATACTTTTCATTTTACTTAGAGACAAAGGAGCTGATGTTTCCCAATGGACAGTCCGACAATATGGATGATAGATTTTTCTATATATTTCTACGGCTTTCACCTTAAACAGAATGATATTTATGACGAACAAATTTTGCAATGAAACGAAAGAGGTGCTTTCTCTCACACAAACTCAAATATCTTGACCAACCCTTTGTTCCTGAAACAATGAATTTAAATAAGGATAGCTTACGGTGCTTCATAGAATGGATCTAGATCTGTTAGAAAACGAATTGCTCTAGTCTAATATTATTGTATTCAATTTTTTTCCGCAATGGTAAGTACAAATTGATTAAAAACAGTAACTTAGTACAACTATATTGAATACAATTTATTCATTTAATGGGAATACATGAAGGTTGGCTAGGAGTCTGAGATTTTTTTCATTTTTTCTAGCGTGAAATATTTTTTCAACTTAGAATTCACATGTATTTACCATAAAATAAGAGAAAAGTGGGACGTTACCACAGTTTGAAGCCTTTAAGGAAGGTTTTGCAAATATAGAATTAACCGTTCACCTTAAATAACTGAATACTGTTAATTTTGTGATTGGCAAAAGCCAAATTAATTGAAACTTTATTAAAAATGATAAAAAACATTTTGTTAAGGCACTGTCTTATAAAAAATAATACAACTGTGCATGGAAACATAGTTACTAAGGCAAATGAATCAATTGTGTTGTGATATATAATTAAGTTTATTATTGATCTTAAAATTGTCTTATGCTAAATATGCGTTAAGTGTTGAATTATTTATGTTGTTGAAACATCTGAAAAAAATCAGATTCAAATTCAAACAATGACAATTTCATGAAAAAGAGGGGAATGGTGGTAGACGTGTATGCGACATCAATGTCCTATGATACTAAACCTAACTTGTAATGAAATATATTTATATTGATAAGCAAATATTAATGGAACTGCTACATTTTCAAATCAAATACTTTAAGTGTCAAAATATTTAAAAAGACTGGATATTCAAATGTTACTATTTTACTTATAATTTTCTTTTCTTCTCAGATATTTTGTGAACGTGCATATGGATATGTTGTAATAATCATAATAATAAAATAACAATAATAAATGAATAATAAGTTTTATCTAAATGAATTGATTAATTCGGTTATAAGTTATATTCAAACATTTGATCGGGGAAAGGTATTTCTTCCCAAATATGTGAATGGATTTTTTTGGGGCTGAAAAAATACTTAATATACTATAGTACCACCGATATATAAAAAATACACATACCTTCTGCCATAATTAGTTGATTTTGTGTATCCAGATGTGTCTATTGATTCTATTACATTTCTTTAAAATTCCGTCTACGGTATTGTAGTATTGACAAATCACAACTCTGCAACTACCCATCATTCCGAATCTTGGGCATTAATTATTGACGAAGATATATGCCAAATTGTTATTAAAATCACAGAACTGGAAGCAAAATATGAAAACATGAAATTAGTCTTTTTTGCAATATGATGTATAAGTTTCCTGGGATTTCTAAAAAGCACTTCTGGTATTGGTTTACAGATATATGTTGTTAATCTAGTAATGTATACCAGAAGGTTTACGACGAATGTCAAATGTCATTGATTTTCCGTTTCTGATACCACTGGCTCATCATACAGGCTTTTGATAATTGTACACAAATTACATCAATTATAAACTTTTATTATGCTTAACGACCAAAAATTATAAACTTCATCTGAAGGGTCGCTTACTTTGACTCCAGTGGTACTCTGATAACAACCAAAACTTGTCATGAAGATAGATATGTTTGGTGTTACCATTAAATTAAACGAAAACCAAGCTTCTTAGTATTTCTGAAATGTTATCATAAGTTGTCTGACAAAAAAATGTGAAATGTGAAATTAAGAGGTTGAAATCAATCTCTTGAAGTTTGAAAATTTCAAATTTCGGACTTACGTACATAAATAGTATAACAAAAATTCCGAATTCCAAGGTAAATTAAAAAAGGGGGAGTCCATACAAACTGACAAAGTCAAACGTTATCAACCAACGGAACGAGTGGAAAACAGCTATCATATTCCTTACTTGGAATATTTTCTAATATTTTGGCTTCGAGCATCACTGAAGAGAAATTTATTTTCGAAATGCGCATCTGGTGCAGAAAATTGGTACCGTTAATGTTAGTCTAATTCAATAGATTATTAAGTGACAATAGTAATGTGCGTCACATATATGTTGATTTATAGTGTATCTTTTAAGGAAAATTACGTTTTTCAGTTTTATTTCAATTATTATAACAAAGGAAGTGTTTAATGACTTTCACGTATGTGGCGTAAATTTTGATTTCCGAAATACAAGTAACATTTTTTTAGTTGATCAAAAGTCCAAAGTCGAGTTATTGCCACTACTTTTGTTTCAAATATATAATTCTCTTGCGATCATGTGTAAACTTCCCGCTAAAGTAAATCAATGTCGCAGAATGCGAGACATAGGGAATACGATCCGCTGACGGCGTAAACTATTGGCATACAGCTTTATATTTCAAACGATAGAAGACCTGGATGCGTCATACCTTGTATGCAGATACCTTATTTTATGAAGTTTCCGTCTGTCATATATCCTTTGTCCGTGACCTTATTTGCATGGTTCAGTGACTGCTTGAAAAGTATTGTTTTTTTGTCATGTGAATACCTCACTAATTATTAGTAATATGATAACTATATTTGGTATATGAGATCCTTGCAAAGTCTACATGTTCATCCTCATTTCTTGATCAGTGATCAAGGTTAAGTTTACGTGGTCAAGTCCGTATATCAGATACTAAAAGCAATAAGTCAACTATATGTGGTCTATGGAATGATTGTAAAGTGTAAATGTCTAACTGGCAGGTTTCATTTGACCTTGACTTCATTTTCATGGTTCATTGAACAATGTTAAGTTTTCATGGTTTTGTCAGTTTATCAGATACTATTAGCAATATGTTAACGATAGTTGGTGTAAGGAATGATTGTAAGCTGTACATGTCTGTCTGGCAAGGTTCATATAACATTGACCACATGTTTTATGTTTCATTGATTAATATACCTCAGGGTCTCAACAATTTACGAATTCAAGTATAAACATTCCTATTGTATATGAGCATGTTCTCTTATCGTGTATAATGATGCTGGCAACATCACTTCTCTTCAAAATGTGTTAGCCAAAAAACTGTTTTTCTCACTCCAACCAGTATAGGGTTAAACATGAAAACAAAAGTCGGGGATATCAATCAAACAAAAATAGAATGAGCAGAACATAGCAATACTTAAGTAAAATATCTATCATTGGTTTTGTACTTTAATACTTTTTTTTTTTACCGATTTGAATAAATTCTTTATAAATGACTAAAATGTACATCTATTTTAAGAATATTCAGTGAAAAAGTATTTCATAAAAATAAGAGAAAGAAAAGCATTAATTCTAATTTCAGTTCAAGTTTAACATAATTATAAGATGTTTTGTTTGATTCGTTCTCGTCCTGAACATGCATGAAATATTTGCTATCAGACGAGGCAATAAAAATTAAACAATAACTAATACCTTGAAATTACGTATTTACATGCATTGAACTGATACATGTATCTTTCTTAATGGTTTTGACTCAACCTTTCAGACTCAGACACCATGTTGTTTCTAATATGATAAATAATGTTTTGTGACGTAAAATTAAACCAAAATAAAATGAGGTATATAAAGATTGGACTTGATGGAAGCATATTAGCACCACACAATTTGTTTTTATATTTCTTCCTATGTTATAACGAAATCCTTTGCGAAATAACGCAAACATTTTGATGACTGACAATTGAAAGGCCAATTCCTTGAAAATTTTGATTTACGGAAAGAAGAGAAGAAAAATATTTTCAGACGATTGTGAAACTACAGAGTCAAATAGACAAAATGATCTTTCGGCTTATTCAGAATAAAAAAAAAATGAATTTTGATGTAAGAAGTCGTTTATTTAAATCTCAGAATTTGATAGAGATTCTTTGATAAAAAAAATCACGGGGTTTTAAATTTCAGTCTAGTAAGGTAGCTATTTAAGATGCTTGGGTAGCAATTAAAATGTAGAGTACATGATTCTAATAATACAAAATCTTCATCTTATACATTTATTTCTATATGGTAGTTTGTTTGGATTTAACCAATCTTACACAATGCTCATACAAGCGCTTAGTTTGGAAGGATGTTTAATTTCGACTACATTAACAGGGTTCTTTTTTTTTTTTATTTCCTTCGGTATAACTTCAATTTTTTATATTTTCTTTGTAATATTCTCCTGCTCATCATAATGCCATGATACGATATAAAGACTCAAGCATTTTACTTTGTAATAAGTGCAAAGATTGATAAAATTTAATACATGCTGCCTCCTCCATTTTTAACAGCTGCTTCCCTTGAAACTTAAATAAGAAATAAGATAAAACAAATGCTTGCGTTATAATGTAAATATTTGCGTTATTTCTCAAAGGTTTGCGTTATTTTGCAAAGGTTTGCGTAATAACGCAAAGGTTTACGTTATAACGCGAAATAGGAAAAAATATAGAAAAAAAATGTGTGTGGCCCTTATACGCTTCCGTACTTGTGGAAGTCATTTGACAAACCCTTCTCAATTATAGGCTTAAAATGTAACCGCATTTGGAAACTGCAAACTTCAAGAAAAATGTCAGCTGGGACAATAAAACTTATCGAAATATCAATATTTGAGACATGTTTACTGAAACTATGCATTTGAATAAAAAGATATATGGGGTTTACGTCTATGAGACAACTCCACGACACCTTTCATATAAGTTTCTTCAACATTGTGCAATAAACAGATGAGCTGATTAAGATAAATGCATAACAAGGACCATGATTTGTTACAGCTGTTAATACCAATTGTTCCATGGTTTAAGAATCGAATGCTTCTTTTTGTGAATTTATTGGGGTGTAAAAGCGTTGACCGAAGTACATTTTGTATTTTCTATCAAGTTTTTCTTTTATTTACCTGTGCACTTTATTGTGGAAGCTCGTGTCATCATGAATGTTACATTTCATTATGAAATGAATGTTAATTTCGGTATGACGCGAGATTGTTGTTAGCCAATCAAAATAACGTATTATAATGAAACATACATGTAATGTAATTATAAGCAATTGAATAAAAATTTAAACGACAAACAGAACAGCACGATTAAAATCAAGGTCGAAATTTAATAAGATATAACAACAATCTTTGGCCTTATGTTCGCCTAATAGTTATTGATTTCACTTCTTGGAACAAAGCAACACGGAATAATCAAATTTATTTCTCATTACAAATCATGAACAAAGTTGTTGACGTTCTTCACAAAAAGCAATACAGAAAATACTAATATGCTTTGATTTTTAATTGGTTAAAATATTGAAATTGGGAAAAGACAGCATGAATCTGGTTTACAATATAAGGAATTGAAAATACAGGAATAGAATAGCAAGTTATGAAAGAACATGAACGTGCAGAAAATTTGTGAATCTGTGAAAACTTTAGACAATGAAAATCGTACAAATCTCAAAAATTTTAATAAACCTCTTCTTGTTGTTTATGACGTTATCTGTGTTTCCATGAATATAAAAATTTACAGAATGTGTAGTTATTCATTTCTGAAAAGGGAACAACATGTTGTTTATAATCATCTTGAATACGTTAAAAAAGTGTCTTTAAGATGCTTTTTCGTTCTGTTGTAAAAAATTAAGTAAACGGAAAACAAGAATGTGTCCATAGTACACGGATGCCCAACTCGCACTATCATTTTCTATGTACAGTGGACCGTGAAATTAGGGTCAAAACTCTAATTTGGCACTTAAATTAGAAAGATCATATCATAGGGAACATGTGTACTAAGTTTCAAGTTGATTGGACTTCAACTTCATCAAAAACTACCATGACCAAAAACTTTAACCTGAAGCGGGAGACAGACGGACGGACGAACGAACGAACGGACGGACGAACGAACGGACGCACAGACCGACAAAGCAGCCAGCAATGTGTAGTGGTATGACGAAAATTCTACACGGAAATTCTTAAGAATGAAATTATAATTTCTTTTAGATTCAATACCGCACGCTCCGCGATGAGTAAATTTTAAACAAAAGTATCAGTGTCACTGCCCACATCTCAGTATAAGGTATCCTCTGAATATTTTCAAGTGACATGTGTATTGGCCACCTAAACTAAACAGAAATGTCTAAGTTCGTTCCATCTCGGCGTTTAATAAATGTTTT